CAGGCCGCAGTTGGTGTTCTTGTAGAACCAAATCTGGCGGCCAGAATCATTGAATCGAAGTTTTCCCTGTTTTCCAGTTTTCCCTTGAAAGTGTGGCAACTATTCAGCTAAAATTAGAGCAGCTTACAGCTATGGCTTTGTTATTGCTCTGTGCCCAATTCTGAGGGAGAATACGGGACCTCCCTGGAAGAAGTAGTCGATGCCGTACAAGAAGCGCTAGCTGCTAAAGCCATAAAAATTGGAGATTTCAGTGCACGTATCAGAGCCAATATTGAGAGGCGAGATTGGAAAAAATAGTTCTAACGACGTTACGAACTGAAAAATTTGTTGAGGTTTGTTGCAAATAGGACCTTTTTTATGAAGAGCTTCCCTGAGCATCGAAACATGCAACAGTATTCCTGCCAAAAAGTCGGTTATGAACAAAATGTTAATGGATTGGGTAATCTATCGTTTGATTTTGACTAGCGTTTTGTATCGTAAGAGATTTTTGCTCTACGAGAAGCGGAGATCTATAACTCATCAAAAACGGTTGTTGGCACCCTCGACTGTCAACGATGTAGTATTCTCGCAACACCTAAGAAGAAATCAGTGAATTAAGTAGAAAACACCACCTTCTGCGGATACGAGAGTAAGATTTGGCGCAGTATCATACAAGGATTTTAATAAATCCCGATGAAGGACGCTGATGTTCAAACGGAGTGGAAGCTCATTAAGGGCGGCTTACTCGGGTCTGAAACGAATTAGCCAGTCGTCTGGAGGTCAGAAGCAAAAGTCGTGGTGGAAAAAACACCTTTAGCGTTTGTCGGCAAAAAAGATTCAATTCAAGATCTGGATTGGAAAAACAGAGCTTTCAACTAGAATGCGTTAGGAAAAATGTAGCAGCGAAAGCAGTAGCCACAGCGAAAGGTCATTCTGTCCCGTATCCTACTTAAGTTGTATGTGGATAAGATAGTTAGGCACATCCACGGTGACGGATGTATTGGCGTACGAGATGGGGAAAAGAGAAGTTGACTATTTGCACACGATCTTGTTTCTTGCAATCTTCTAGAATAGATCTCCAATTTTCTCAGAAGGTTCTCAACCGAGAACGACAAGGTCAGCATGCTTGTAAATATGCCTAAGACGCAGAGCTCTACGATTCCTCGACCTGCCGTTGCACCCTGTAGATAAGCGCAGAAGCAGTTTAATAGGTTGAGAAGTCTATTTACCGTGAGGTCGCATTGACTGGGGATGAAAATTGGAAGGAAGAGACTGACGGACGAATTTGAATGGCCAGCGGTATTTTTGAGTGAACTAGTCCGAACCGTTAGGACTAAAACAGACCTGAGTCCGGACTAGTGACCCTCTATTTAAGTCGATCTTCACCATGGCCACGGATCGTGGGCAATGACCGAAAAATTTCGAACGTCGATGGAATTTACTGACAATATCCTGTCGATACGAATCTCTGTGGTCAGTTCTCGATATAATCTATATTTCAGGTATTTAAGAGTAC